GTTGTTAAAGGATAAGCAAGCGGGAACGGAAGTTAGCAGAGAAGCCCCAGCAGCCATTAGTAGAGCAATGTAATTTAGGGGTTATACAGCCCCCTGAGAAAGAACGCAAGCCCAGTGGAAAACAAGAAAATGATGCACCCGATTTGTACGATAGAGATTCACAGTGGTGGAGAGGCAGCGGGGCAGTCTCCAGTGTTAAAGGAATATTGTGTAATGCAGGAGCGATTGCCACTTTAGGGGTCAAAGTGGAAGGAAACGAGTGCGAGGCACTATTAGATTCAGGGTCATCAAGGAGTTTTATCAATCCTAGGACTGTGGATAATCTACAGCTAAAGATACTGCGGCCAATAGAGGAGTGCATTTTCACAGTGGCCGACGGTGTGCAATTAAGAATTGATCGAGTAGTAAAGGGACTAATAATGTGGTGTAGCGATGTGCGATTGTGCGGACACTTCTTAGTAGGGCCTGTACCATACGATTTAGTATTGGGACTAGATTGGCTAACTGAGCGTAAGGTGGCGTGGTCCTTCCACTCTGATAAATTACATGCATATGTAGATGGGAGATGGTGCTGTCCAACCCAAGCTCGTACCAAGCAGAAGAAAACAGATTGAAAACGTTCCAGCAGCACGTCTGCGGGCCCCTGCGGAACAAGCTTATGATATACTTGCAAAACAGATAGCAGATGTCACTGGATGAGGCGAGGGCACTTTTACGTCCATCTCCCAAAAGGTACAAAACGCCCCATCAGACGGGATCCTTATCTACAGCCCCGATCTACCCAGTCATCTGGCTTTGCTCCGACAAGTGTTAGTAATTTTACTACAACACCATTTCTATCCGAAGTTTTGAAAGTGTAAATTTGCCAAGCAGGAACTTACATACTTGGGATACGCCATCAGTGCAGAGCGAATTAAACCCGCAGCAGATAAGATAACAGAAATAAGGATGTGGCCCGAAGTACTGGAAAATGAGACTCCAGCCCGTCAGTTCCTAGACACCGTTTACTACTGTCGCATGGGTCCGGAATTCGAAATCATAGCTCGGCCTCTTATTGACCTTACACGACAAGGGACACCCTTTGAATGGACAAAATCTCATACTGATGCGATGCGGCAACTCAAACAACAACTGATTGATCATACCACTTTACAGATTCCAGACACCGCAAAGCCTTTTGATCTATACACCGACGCATCAGGATATGCAGGATATGCAATAGGGGTGGTTCTTATATAAGCGGGTCAGCCAATTGGATTCCTCATTTAGATCCTGACCCCCGAACAGCAGTGCAGTGGGAATCTCGTTAATCCATTCATGCACGTCACTAATCAGATGATAAGGCATTTGGCATTTGGTCACTAATTAGATGACGAGGCATTTGGATACCTTAAAAATTGGTTTTTATGACATTTATGCCATCTAAGATCCCCAGGAGGCAAGTTTCTGTCGTTTTTCGATACGCAAAATTGTCCTCTGGGTTCACGCGTCCGACCGCCCCGCACCCACAATGAATATAGCATGAAAACAAGGCACAGATGGCAGTGCTTGGGGCTGGATGACCCGTGTCCCCAGCACTGCGGCGTCGTCCAACAGATGGATAACTCCTTCCTCTATCAAGAACTATTGACCCGGCTATAAGAGTAATATGAAGGAGTTATTTATTTGTTCAGAGGCAGACGCCTCAATGATGGGCTCCCAGTGTAGCCTTGACCGCCTAAAGTTGGAATTTGTCTTCTACTTGCTTGTCGGCGGACTCCTGAGGGCCAATAAGTTCTAGAAGTTTGACCACGGCATTACTGCATGTTTTAAAGTCTGCCTGCATACGTGTGAAATTGGGCTTGCAGTACACCAGGGTTGCAGCAGTGCACCATAGTTTTCGCGATGTTGGCACTTCTGTCTGATGTTGGCACCTTACACCCTCACTCGGTCCTACTAGACAAACTATACACAACCAAAAGGTCTCAACATGTATCTACCGCGTCTATGCATACAACCAATATGGCTTGTTTATCTTTCTATGAGGGATCTGTAGCACCCTGAGATTCAGCACGGTGCACTGGAGCTCACGGCTGGTTGCCTCTGCACCGCGGCACTATTGAGACCTGCAATGAAGCCAGAGTAGTTACTACGGCACTTGCCTAAATGGATCTAGTCTCTCTCCTATGTCTCCAGGCGTTATGGCAGGGAGTAGGTGGCCTGGCATGAGTTATAACGCATGGTGCCCAGCTGAAGGTGGAAGGCATCCACACAAGCAAGCACGAGAAAGCCTTTGGCAATTTACGCATGAACTCTGTAGGCAAGTGCTGAACACCCTTTATTGCGTATCATGTGTCTACTAGGGTGGGGTAAGGGTTAAGGCAATCACTGCAAGGACTATGCACCCACTCCCCCACACCCACCGCCAACTCGCGCAAGCAGCACACGCCATCATGTGACTCTATTGGCCTGAACATGACATTATTAGCTTGCATTTCGTTCCAGTTGCTACGCACCGTGGGTGACCTCATGCTTTACCTGGTTCTCCGCTCGCTTCTTCCATGTGTCGCACCGCCTAGAGCATCTAGAGAGAAAGTTGATTGCCCAGGCTGCTAAAAGCCTATTGTTGCTGAAGCTGCGCAAAAGGCCGCTTCCTGAGGTGCAAAATACAGCAAATTCCCCCGCACTCTGCTCTGTGATACTTTTGAGTTTGTTTGTCTCCTGCATTTCCTCTCCTATTCGGCAGGGTTGGTACCCCAACACTCATAGGCTCTACATCCAAATATTTTCCAAACCCACACCCTTCTTTCTCTGTTAGGGAGGTGGATTTGGCGTTTTCCTTTGCTTTGATGCGGACGTATACCACCTTCGCTGAGAAGTCAACCCTTTGAGCTTGTAGTTTCCTCCCTGCTGCTCAGTCGGTTGCCAATAGCCTTTCTCTTTTGGACAAGCCCCCCATGAACCACTAACGCGCAAGTTTCGAGTTCGCCGTTGGACTTTTGACTAAGTAAGGGAAACTATCGATAGTCGTTATACGCAACACGTTGCTGAACAAGTAAAACCATAGCCAGTTCAAGCAGCTTTTCCCCTGTCAGCATAGAATTAGCCTTCGCACCAGCGCATGCTCGGAATTGTAGTCGATGTGTTGCAAAAACAATTCCTCTGCACAGAGATAGCTACCATTGTTATGCCTCCCCCGCAAACAGCGAAGATTGTAATAGCAACTTTAGTGCTTCATGCGCTTACTGGGGAAAATGAGAAAGTGATGGATTGGCAAGCGCTCGTCCACTGTCAGCGCACCGCTGTGGTCGCATCTAGATGGGTGGCTGAGTCGGAGGCATTCTCTATGCACTGTGTTTGTTGTAAGAACATTTTCCGTTGGACTGAATGCAGAAATTCAGCTTGATTCAACTTGGCGGGGCTCCGAACGGTTGTTCGCTTCCGCAGCTGAGGGCAGATCCCGATCGATCTCTATTCTGCAAAAGAAATGAAAGGCTGATAAGAAGGTGAAGAAGTATTGGGGGAGAGTTCGACATGTGCAAACGTACATGTTATGCATATTCTATCCTACATAGGGCTATGCAGCCCGATGCCCTGTTACGTGAGTGAGGTTCGTTGTTCTTGCGTACATCCGCTGAACTGTGCGATGCTTGCAAGTGTGATGCGGGGTCTTCAAGCTGCAGTGGATCCAGCCACTGAAATGCAGCTGTTCACTCTCGCCAATCTTCAGGAGCCCCGACAAGAGCTTCCCAAGATCCTGGGGCTGCCTGGGAAGCGACGACCTGCCATGAGTTGCAGCACACCTTGCCCCAACTCAATATGCGAGACAGCCCCACAAGCAAGCACGAACAAGCCTCCGTTAATTTACGCCGGAACAGTGTAGACAAGTACTGGGAATCTTTGCTTGCGTATTGGTTGTTTACTAGGGGTGGGTAAGGGTTCATATGGCTACTTCACAGACTTCCCATCAAAGCACATACCACGGTACAGACGAACCCCCCGCGGCCCCAAGCGCTTGAGCAACTGAGCTCAGGGATCGATGTCAGCTGGACTTAACGGACCTTGGCCTTGAGAATTTTGGCCCCATTACAGCTTACAGTAGTCCCTAGATAGGATCCTGGGCCCGCTTTACAAACTACTTGAAAACAACACCACACGTAGTGCCGGTGCTAAGGGTTAGATCTATCTGTCCACCTGCCAGTCTACATTCGGATAGGCAAAGACATGTAAATCCATTCAGTAGAAGGGGTGAAACTGGAAGGAAGGAAGCATTCGCAGTGCAGATCTCCGTTTCACGACAGCACCACAGCCCCATCGATGCTCGTTTGAGCCTTGTTGGCACAGGGCTTGAAGCATCCACCCCTTCCCTTCCCAACTGAGGGCCTTCTGCTTTTCCTTTGCGTTGAGCTCTTTGCTTTTTTTTGGCTTTTCAATAGATTTCCAGCCCCTCATAATGCTGGGTGCATTTTCTGCACTAATCAAGGCTGGCGATCTGTCCCCAACGTACGTCCTTCACGTGCCGTCTCCATGAACAGCTTTCCCATTACTTCCGAAATCCGAATGCTTCTGTATTTTCTAGTCCTGCATTTTCTTCCTTGTCGCCATGTATAACTGTGATTCCGGCCCAGTACGGAGTCGATTTCGCTGTTCAGTTCTTGCAAGTGAGGACAATCGGGTGCACGGATTGCTTCGCCAAACGAGGCGTTGCGTGACTCGGTGAATAGTTTGGTTCTACGTGAAAAGCCAATCTTCTGTTTGGCATCTAGTTTGCAGCCGACAGAGATCCCCACTGAAGACAGCTTTTCATACACGTGTTATCCCAACCCGGTGCCACCGCAGGCCATTGTGATGATATTGTTCTTCTGTGGTGGTGTGTGCGCTGGTGGCCATCAACAATGAGGGGGGTGTTTACAGCGGGCGTGCTCTGGATATGTTTTCTACTGTGGCACGAGCAATGCTTGCCAGCAACGGGAGCACTGATGGCGGTTCCTGCAGCTGAAAACAGGTGGCTCTCTGCAGGGATGTTATCAACCAGTGAATCAGCGGAGGTTCATGAGACGCAGACTGACCCTTTGTTTGGGACGACACTTGACACAGTTGAGGAGCGCATAGATCATCAGTTGATGGTGGGCTTGATGCCAATCCACTCGCCCACTGCCGATGTGCCGCCTCCAAAGCTGGAATTCAGGCCCCTTCGCGCAGCAGCGCTCACAAAAGTTTTTGGTACTTTCGTTGCTCTGGCCATTGGCTTTTGGCTGGTGAGTGCTAGTGGGAAGACACGAAGTGTGCCTCATGTGGGAGGCGCAATGAGCGAAGAAACCTATGGGCTTTCCAAGAATGCAGCAGGGGGAGAGGCGTCAACGCATGACGAAGACACCGCAAGCGAAACAACAGCTAATGATCCGTCGGAAGAAATGAGGAGACTGCAGACGGTGAGAGGGCTCCTGCCAGCGGCATCTCGGCTCGCTGCTGCAATAGGCACGAGTGAAGCTGAGAACATTTTGAGTAGTGTGCATAAATCTTTCAGTGTGGTGGGACACACTGCAGGACTGGCGTTGGACAGTAAGCGCATTGAAGACTCCATTAAAAGTGGTTTGCAGGGCTTGCGCTTGCTTCACACGGTTGCCCTTCGACATGCCGCAGCGCTAGCGGATGACGGCACCCTGGTACCTTCTTTTTCTGTGCTAGAATCGGAAGAAGTGGGGACATGGGTGGAGGACGAAATCAAGCATGTTTTCGAGGGTGACACTGTTCTTCCCTTTATCGTGTATATGCATTCGCTGAAACAGAGTGTGATAGATATCTCCCAGCGGTTTACACGTGCTAGGGACCGTCTTTCGATGGTGACCCCATTTAGAGATGAAAGGGACGAAGATAGGTTGATTTCGGCAGCAGCAGAGCTCGACTGGCTGTTATCTCTAGGTGAAAGAAAGCGACAGATGATTGAAAGGGCAGCAACTTTGAAGGACTGCGCAATTTCCGGCGTACGGATACACCTTAAGTACCATGTGGAGGAGTGGATTAGGACCCTTCAGGGAAGTCTGGAACTAGTGCACGCTCACGTTGATTTGGTCTCCAACGACTTAGAATCGTCTTTCGAGAACAGCAGCACGCTTGAGCATGCCGTGGAAGACACTGGCAATATTCACACTATTAGAAGGAAACTTGCCAAGGTCAACGACCTGCTACAGGGAATGCGCAGAGCGAAGCAAGCTGTCCATGAGAGCACGTCAGTAGAGATTGGTGTTTCTGCTTTTAAGGAGGCCGAGCAACTAATGAAAGAGGCGCAGGATCTGGTGGACGATTGTTGGGAAGCAGCGAACACTCTGTCTTCGCGGCAGGTTGAGTTAAGTTCCAGCGACGTCGCCCTGTTGGAGAGTGCAGCCGCAAAAACCCGGGTCATTGTAGATGAACAGAAAGCCTCAATAGTTGCTAGTTTATCTATTGTTCACAACAGATGTTTGGATGCCCTTCATGGCGACGGCACGATGATGGCCAGTGCTAAGCATATTAACAGTTCAGTAGCCGAGCACCTCCGCAGCCAAGCTTTCAGTATTGAGCAAATGGTGGCTTCGCGGTATCAAGGCATGCAGAACATTGCTACACAGCTAAGAGAAACCAAAGACCTAAAGGATGCCACATCGTTGCTTGAGAATTTGGAAGAGTATTTACCAATTTTTGTGGAGCTCAACAAACGGGCGGTATTGTTGGTGCTGGAAAGCTACTTACACATCATGCTCGAGGACGATATCCAAGCTAGTGTGAAAATCGCCACCCGTGCCTCCTCAAGTAAATTTCTTATAACAGGGCCAAATAGAATGCATTTCGAGGACCTTCGATTGCAGTTTGACGATGCTAAAAAGATGGCTAACAACGCAAGCAATTTAACGGAGGCAGTAAAAGCGGCTGCAAACGTCAGCCAGCATGCCTACGCATTAAACGATTTTGCAGAAGGTCGCTGGAGGGGCCAACCAGATCTATTTGCAGAAGGTCGCTGGAGGGACCAACCAGATCTTCCGTGAGATCTGGCGAGTCTGTTTCTGTTCTTGGAAAATACACGACAATGGACGTGCAGGAGCCTGCGCTGTTAGGTGACGTCGATGCCCTAGAAATCCCATGCAGCTGACTATAACGCCAGCGACGGGTGCCACGCAGTCAGTTTGGCAGTAATTTGCAATTTCTCATTTTCGCTGTAATCAAGGCTTCCTTGCATGTAGACTGTTAAGAGCGCCCAACTCCACTTCACGCCTCGAAGATCCTTGTTGTTTGTCTCCCCAAATGGGGATTTCATTTCATTCTTTGTTTCTTTGTCTATACCGCCACTGTCAGGAAAACGGCGGGAGCATTTAGTATTTATTGCATTAGTTATGCTGCTTTTGACTTCCCCGGATGCCACCCTGGGTACACAGGATTGGCTCCTGCGTTGCCTCGAGATTTTGGTGCCCTGTGCACAACAGTTTTCTGAATATGAATATCTCAGAAGAGATTGGTTTCTAGAATGCAGTGACTGGCTGAATCTATGCAATAATTATGGCTGCCCAGTAGCGGTTTGGATACATGCCTGCAGCTCACACGACGTCTAGCCGCTGGATATCATAGGAATGCTTTGTGGATAAATCCAACAGGTTAGATCTCATCCGTTGCACCAGCATTTACAGAGCACTTAATTGTGGGCACACACAACAAAGCGTCGTGTGTTTTGCCTTGTGTATCAGTGGTGACGACTTCCGTAGTGAGCAGCGCAGTAGGAGTTGCATCGATTGCCGATAGGCAGATGCATTTTCGGTAGGTGTCTTTGTTTTGAAAAAGCTTGCATAGTTTTGGTGGCGGAGAGTCAGGAGGAACTCCCTCGTGTGGACAGGTCCACAAACGGCACCAGCAAATTCGGGTCTGCACCTTGACAACTAGCTAGAGCAGGCAACATAGTCTTTGCAGCTTAGAAGCAAACAAACATCTCGAGCTGTGAAAGCATTTTATCCGATGGCGAAGAATCCATGCCGCCTTGCCAGTCCAACAGCCTGTTCTGCATTCAGTTAGCGCCCCCTGACGCTCTAAGCTGTTTAGGATGTTTCATGGATGCACACACATGCAGGCTCTCTCCCCGCATGTAGCACGTGGCTTCGCTCTCTAGAGCTGCTCAGGTTAGTCTATGATTGCTTGGGCAACCCTCTCGCCATTGTTGGATTTTCTGGAGGAAACGGTGCTGAACGCAGCCTAATCTGGAAATGCCAGTGATAATTGAATAAAAATTGTATGAGGTCTACTGGTCACCACTCAGTAAACTACTTCGCGTACATAGCTTACGAATTGCTCCATAACGGTCGATTACCCAGTCTCTCGCATTCTCCCGTGACGCTCTCCGGGAAGTCACTACTGGCCCTTTGCAGAGACAACACGGCCTGAGGGCTCTACCAAAAGCCCTGTGGTGTGTGCTACCGCAGGCAGTATCCCTATAGTGTTAGGTGGAGACTCTTGGAAACTATAGAGAATCCTGAGCGGAACTAGTATCCTGCTCTATGCAGTTTGTGTTCAGAGGCGGGCAGTGCCTCACAACGCTCTCCTGTGGTCCCCCCGATTATTAGTGAAACTCATCCTTATTGCTTCCAAAGGTAGCGGAAATAAATATTGGTTCAGGAGCCGTTCGCAGCAGTGCAGTGGGTACGAAATCGAATGGGTTGAAGTGCTGGACGCATGAAATGCTTGCTGTGCTGATATGTTAAATTTCTAAGCATCGCTGACCAAATAAAGTAGCTGGCAAGGCCTGCCCATTGCTGTTACAATTTACCCCCGACGTGGGCAACAGCAGTGGTGTTGCATGCAGAATCCCAAGTGGGTAAGCATCATCGATACAGGTATGAGAGTGCAGGTACTGCTAGCGATGAGTATGTGCTATCCTTCCCTTCCCCAAAGCAGCTTCCGTAGCCTACCTGAAATAAAGGATATATCTATCATACTATGCATGGAATAGGTTCCCTAACAACTGCGTCGATTCCATGGCCCCTAGGGCCGCATGCAGTTCACTACATATGCTTCGGCTATTCTCGAAGCATTCGCTACACATCGGAAGACTGTGCTAAGTATTTCTTTGTCTCAAATCAGACTGGATGGTTCTTTCCCGTGATTTTGCCTACGCAGGAGAAGGTGCCCTCTGTGCCACAAAACCATGCACGGACTAGGTGCTGCGGTCAGGAACATGCCACTGGAATGGAAACTGTTCTAAGTCCCCCTTGATATGAACCCATCTTAAATAAGAATAATATTTATCAAATAATCCATTACTACTAGTGTGGTTTTCACGTTTAAATTGATAAAGGAGCGTGTTTGGAAGTAACTGCCACCGTTGGTATACGGATAGACGGTTCCCTAGGTGCCTGCCGGACTGTCCTCGCTCCACCGCAGTGAACCGGTTTTAGTTGCCCTCCAATCCCAAAGCATACACGCCACAAATTAGTTTCTTTATAGTTGCTTCATGCATCGTATAGTGTACTCTGAAGTGCGCAGTAGGTTATACGGTGGTACACAGACATTCGTTCCTTCCAGGGGCTGGTAAACCTCGCATCCGCATGCAGTACGCCAGGAGTTCCTGCATGGTATGTACTGTGCGGACACAAAGGTGTAAGCCTTATTCCATGCTTAAAACATTAAATTTGCATCTCTACCAAGCAAGCGAATTGAAGGAACACGGAATACGCCGAGAAGCTTGATGGGTTGCTCACAGCAGACCAATCCGTGATCGATATCTATGCCGCCACTCCTTCACGCAAGACGTAAGAGGTCTGCATTTCAATGCCACGAAATCCCCACTGGTAGCAGTTGGCTACTGTATAGGATACATTTAACGATGATGCACAAGAGTGGCACACAGACAACTGAAGTTTCGTAGGACAAAGCTGAGTGCTCGGGGACGATGCCAAGACCAAACGGGATAGTATGGCTTCAACTGTGTGCCGCAGTTTTGTGGATCAGCGGATCTGGTACTAGATGTGTCACAGGGTCTTCTTTGTCTGGGACCATTGGGCCATCCTCTTTTAGCTACTTGATGCCAGGCATGAAACCGGAGAGTGGACCATTCGAACTTATTGGGGGTTCTTTCGACGCGAGTCCAAGCGTGGAAGATTCGGCTTCAAACGTGCGGCGGAGCTCCAGTACTGGAAACGTCAATGAGACGTCGGTTGGTCAGGTTCTTCGGAAACCGAAGGTCGACAGTCGGCATGAATCAACAATTGTAAGCGTTTTGGGGGGTTCTGTTGCGCTCTTATTCGTCATTTGTCTTTTGGCGAAAGACAAGAAGCTTATACGTGTTCCAAAAGAGCAAGGTCATACGGCGGTGGGTGCAGATGAATCCTTTTCAGGGGCAACAGAGATTGAGGATTCAGCGCAAGATGGAGCAGCGTATACAACTTTTGGCATTCCGATGGAAGATGCACAAGAACGATTGAATACACTTGAAAATCTACTTCCACTGGCAGCTAGGCTTGCTTCAGCTATAAGCTTAAGTGAAGTCCACTCAAGTGAGGCCAAACGGCTTTTGGAAACGTTACAGCAGAATGTCAAGCCAAGGGGGAAAGCTGAAGAAGGCGTCGAGGACCGTGACACGATGCAAGTGCGGCTTGACTGTGCTTTGGATGCCTTGCGCCGTCTGCACCGCGCCGCGCTTCATGCTGGTGGGGCGCTCGTTAGCAGAGATGCTGACATTCATGCAGTTGTTTTCCCTGTGTCATACGAACAGCACGAGGATCTGTCTCTTCTGCTGCAAGAAGACAACGCAGAGCCTGTGCAGACCTTCCTGAAGTATTTACGCCCTGCTGAGCAGGACGTTAGGGATCTCTCACAGCGGCTTTCTGATATCCATATGGGGCTGTCTCTTGAACCTCAGTTAAAGGATGAAAACGATGGAGAGTTGCTGTTGTCTGTTACCAAGAAAATCGAGCAGATGCACTCGTTGGTCGAAAGGAGGAGACGATCAATCCGTAGGGCAGACATGCTGCGACTAGGGGCCGCCTACGCAGTCAAGTTAGTTTTGCTTAACGCGGTAGAAGAGTCCATATGGAGACTTCAGGGAACGTTCGAAGTGGCGCAGGCTCACGCCTCTCTAGTGTTTAATCGTCACAGTGTATCAAGCCACAGTGATCATCAGGCAGAATCACCAGTTGGGGATCGGGAACGCGCAAATCTTCTCATGAACAAGCTGGATGATATGGAAACATTGCAAAAGAAGCTTGGCAGGGAGATGAAGGCTTTGATATCGAGTATCTCTACAGACGCTGCAATAGCTGCGTATGGAAGGGCTGCAAAACTAACAGAAGAAGGTTGGGCCTTGCTGGCGCACTGCTGGGCGTTAGCGAAAGAGCTTGATATTCATTCGTCCAAACTGGACGATGTTGATCCTGCAGTAATAGTGCCCACAGCAAACAAAATCTGGAGTCGCGCCAAGGCCAAACTAATTAGTATAGATAAAGCTCTAGATTCTGTGCGGGAGAAGTGTAGTGACACCCTCTCCAGCAGCGCCACAACCCCAGGGGGCCGGCATCTGAATACTCGCATGACAGCTCGCCTGCTAGAGGCCGCAGATGCAATTGTAAGGGAAGCAAGTAAGCAAAGTAAGCGATTCAAGGCTTTCAAGCAGCCTGAAGAAGTGACAGAGTTAATAGAAGATTTGGATTCGCTTAATCGTGCGGAGGAAGATCTAATTCAGCTTGTAGGGCTGAACAGGGATGTACTACTTCTACTAATGGCATACAAGTTGCAGGACGTTGTGGAAGACGATATTGAAGAGTGCCAGCGCACCGTTGTAGGCTTGTGCGCACATAAATCGAGTCTCTCAGACCAGCACAAAAGCGTTTTAATTGAGCTTGAAGAGAGCTTCAACAGAAGTTTGAAGGCCGTCGAAGAGGCAGAAACATTCAAAGAAGCCGCAGCGGCTGCAACACTACTGTGGGAACACGCCGGGGCAGTGGAAGATTTCTTACTGGATGTTGGTATGGAGAAAAACTGAGGCATCAACGACATTACATGCTTATTTGTTTAATAGGAACTAGTTATTGAACTTTCACGATGCGGGTTTGTCGCCTGCACCCCAACCCGTTGCGTGTTGCCATATAGTATCACTTTCTGGTTAGGAGCATCATGTTAGTGTTTGTGAGTGTTTGACCGTCAACAACCGCCGCACACCGGGCTATACCTGGTTTTGCAATTGTGAGGATTTGCTATTCAACCCTTTTGTGTGCTGGAGTCTACTGACAGTGCTGAGTGCATTGTGTAAGAACAACACCGTACTCAGCATGGTGTGCTTTGGTGTTGCTATCATTTGTGGACACCACCGTACTCAGGATGGTTTGCTTTTGTGCTTCCATAAATGTCTTTAATTGCCGTTTAGCTTTAACCAGGATATTGTACTTCCCAGCGCATACAACTACAACAAAGTACAATATCCTGGTTGGTTTTCACGTCTTGCCAAATGCGTTTCCGGGTCGTGGTACACAGTTCCCCTTATGTAGCATTAAGGGGATAGTGCAGCCACCTCACCCGTCGTAGGCGTGATTACTGCCCTTCCCGACTCTGGAGTGGACGGGACATGTGTACAGGCTTGCAGCAGGGATATTCATAGGTATCCACACGATTGGCTCCGAGGCAGTCCATCACGGCTTCGAAGCCTTCTGTGGGACGCTCTTCCACTGGAAGAAGGAAATTAGCATTGCTTCATCACCGCCTAGTGGATGTCCTTCGTTTAGCGTAACGGGCTGTACAATGTGACACTGAAGGGCATATCCAACTGCAACGGTGAATTCTTGGTTTTGCGCGCTGATTGGCCGGGTACACTGACCCAACGACCAACTAGTGCGTTGTGCGCTATTTGTACTTAACTGAAGAAGTACGCGGCCCTATGCGTTGGACGCGTTTTAGAACTCAAGTGAGTGCTATTTTACGATCCCAGCTGCGAGGAGTTTCAGTATCGCTCGCACTCGGAGCTGGTTAAATAATGCGCATAGGAGTAGGAAGTCGCCGAAGCCACTATTTGTTGGTTGTTTCGCGGAAGAATGGCCCCAGAATGCTGAAATTACAGAAATCATCGGGGGCAGTCAACACCCAAGCACAATTAAGACACTGAGGAATCCCCTATCCATATAAATCAGCATTACTCGATGCAGATGCCGTCAAAGACCAACTGGCTCGACAGTTGGACAATGTGTAACTAAAGGAGGAGTTTGCAGTGGGACTAGCCATGGTGTAGAGCGGCATGGCGCAACTGGTTGGTGGGGATTCGGTGCCCAATGGGAGAAGCACCGGAACTGTGCAAAACTCCTCCTAAGTGATTTATTTATGCTTATGCACCGCATTAAGGTGCAGTAGGTACAACGAAACGGTGCAACTACACTACAGGCTCTCACGAGTCCTCAAACACACCAAACTAGCATTCCATGCTTGGTCAGCTAGCTGATGACATCTTCTATTCCTATAGGGGTCTTAGCCCCTCTACATGCCAAAAGTACTTCTTAGCTGTGTCAAGCGCATGCTTCTACACATAGTAAAATTCCATATAGGCCCAGTAGAGGATGCTAAAACGCTTCCAACCCTGACCACGGGCATTCTGCTTTTATCTAGGACATGCATAGTAGCATTCCATCCTGGAAAATGCGTAAAAAGCTCAAAACAAGATATCCCAGTTTCTGTACACGAGTGGTCTACTGTTTTCGGGAAGAAAGCGCGCCTTCCTTGTTTTCCTGCTGCAGGACTTTTCCACTGAGCAGGGGAAACGAAATATCAGACACTCCAGCGGTCTTGATACTGCGCATGCTTCCCAAAACATTGGAAAGTTGGAACCTGGGAAGGTATTCCGAGCATGTAAGAACCTACATTATATGGTGGGGCATAGAAGGCACCATCGCACTGCATCGAACTAAAACGACGAACAAACCCGCGCACAGATGCAGATGACAAATCCGCCAGGAAGCTAGGACAGGACAAGTTCTCCAGGAGGAGCTATGCTTTCATAAGTTTGCGATGTTGACTCTACACCACATGGCGAGCAGAATGATGACGGAGCGAGACTGCTATTCACTTCTCCACACTTAGCAGCTTCAAAGAGCATGAACCAAAATGGAAGCCAGCAGGAGCTAATGGTGCAGCAGCGCCTTCCCCTGCTTTATTACAAGTTCTTCCATTGATTCCGCTTTTTCCCGCATAATTGCCGCTGCTTCTACAGCTCCCTCAATCGTGTTTGCCTCCTTAGCTGCCTTCTGGGCTGCGTCAAAGCTCGCCTGAAGATTCTTTAACAAACTCTGGTCGGAATGTGAAAGTGTTGCGCCACTTGAAGAAGCACGGGCAGCGAGCTCCATGCTGAATACGATGTCCATATCCAGCACCTTCAGCAAGCAATTGCCCAGCATGAGTATACAGCATTTGTTTTTCAGCTTCACCAAGGGGCTGACGGTGGCCGTCACTTTCTGCACATGGCTTACCATGTGTTGTGTCTCGCGCAAACTATGCAGCGCCTCCACCAATGCCTTGGCTTCAGAATAGTACTTTTCAGCCTGTTGAGAGATATCCTCTGCACTATCCCTAAGCCTGGCAGCCAAGACGGCATTAAGATGAGGAATTGGGCTGGATGCAACCTCAGACGAACCCGAAGGCTCTGCGTTTGCTGCCTGTAGCGTGCGCACCGTTACTCGCAAGCCCCCTTTTTCTGAGACGGCACGCCAATAAGCTTTCAGAGCCACATCCTTCAGCATGTTGTGTATATTTGGGCGGAAAATTTCTGCTGGATGGGGATGGTCCATAGTCAAGGGCCAACACTTTAAGAGCAGCGAGCCTGCCTGCGCTTCCAATTCCTCAGCAGTCCTGTTAGCTGAAAGTATGTCACTCAAAGACATATTCCGCGGAACAGTTTTCAAATTTGCCCGCAGCTTACCCAGCACAACCTCCGCCATTTCTAGTTCGTCTGAAGGCGAAGACAGTGTGTTGGTTGGTTGCGTAGCTGCATCATCCTGTGTTTCCTTATCACCGTTTGCTCCGTTGTCGCCTCCCGCTGCAGCTGCAAGCGCCTTGGCAATCCCCAAGTCTCCCTCATCACGCAGCAAAGTATCTTCGTGAACTTCAAAAAGGAGCGTTCTTACGGCATATAACATATTTTGTTCTAGTTGTAATGCCACATCGACTGCATGCCTCTTCCTGTTTTCCAAACCCCGCAGCCACTCAATTTTATCTGTAAGAGCAGCTAGCACCTCTCCATCAGTTTCGTCTACAAAATATCGTTCTGTGGAAATCTCGTTTCGGGCTTCGCTGAATTTTCGGCATATATTTAAAATGCTCTCATCAAGTACGCGCAGGTACTTGATGAACGTAAGCACCCCCTCCTCTTCCATATCCTTCTCAATCGCCGTCAGTCGCGCTACTGATTCTTCACTTGAATCCAGCATAGAGAACGTAGGGATTTCTCCTCCGGTTTTTATGAGCACTTCTGCGTGAAGAATGGCAGTTCGATGTAGGGTGCGTAGGGCTTCCAATGCGCGGTCAAGCCGGTCGTTCGGCTCTCGGTCATCCGAAACTTTGCCCTTGAGCTGGTATGCGTGCTCAACATTCTCCTTTACCTTGGCCAGTAATATCTGGGTTTCGTCGGAGTCAACTACTGAGGCAAGCCGTGATGCTGCGGGAAGAAGCTTTCGCACCTCCTCCAGTCGCCTTTCCGTCTCTTCCGGCGGGCTCCCTGGTTGTGATTTATCTCTCTCCTTTCCTGCTCGCATAAAAATGCCCCCTTCCCGTGGTGCATCCAAAGGCAACCTTGCATCTGTTTTTCCAAGCGCATCTGCCCTTGGTCCTGAGCGCCGTTGCCCACCTGTTCCCATCAAAAACAAGCAAAATAGTAGCGCTAGGGCAGCTCCTAGCCCCGTCGCCACCGCCGACGTCCGGTAGCCCCCAAGTTTAGAGTTTGACAAAGGATTGTTGGTAGCAGCTTCAACATCGACTCCAACGAACCCCACTGGTCGACCATCTTCTGGAATCGCATCAATGGCCTCAAGGCTAGAGTCAAGGAAGGATGCGCTCTGCGTCGCATCATGCTCCCTATAGACTGACTCACTTGCAAGAGAAGCACCGGTTGAAAGCCATGCACTTCGTGAGGAGGAGAGCCCAATGGAAGCCTCTGCCGTGGCAACACAGAGAGCCTGACGCAGCAGGGGGAGCACCCAGCACACCCGCCATCCCACCGGCTCCCTCATCTTCTACAACTATCCATCAGACTCACTGCATCAATGAACATGGCAAGACTACAAAAGGCAACTCTGGCGACGAACTACCCAGGAACACAGGCCCGGGCAAACCGCCGGGCATGTGCCGCGTCGCCGCGGCTAGGACCGACCGAATGCGGCCAAGGCCGCAGTCGAAAGTTCCACAACTGCCTATTACGATACAATATTTGCATTTAGTAGGCAAATGTTGCGCGCAGCCCACGAAAGGAAGGTCGTCAATCCAATCCGAAAGCAGTTCCTCTCCCGCGGGGCCTCCGATGTAGGTTCCTCTTGACCAGGAAGGATTGTATGGCTCCACAAACAGCCAATGCACAATTTATGTAAAACTTCCTTCTTTATCTCGCTAAGGATTGAGATGTAGATAAGCCACAATACAATATACTGCACCGTGGGGATGAAACTCAATGACAATGTGGCGAACCTCAGTGGCATGGGATCCACTGGCGCTAAGGCTTGCTGTAGACCGTCTCCTGCAGGTGGAGGTGCAGTAATTGAGCAATCAATAAAGTTTAATGTGCATTCATATTTTTACATGGACATAAGTTGGGTAATTTTGTAGGCTACTTGTCGCGACGAACTCTAGATGGTTGAGTGGTGACCGGCCTGCACAGCGTGGCGCGTTCCAGAGACATCGAGCTGGGAGCCTGCATTAGTATGCTTTTGACACGTTGCACTGACTGCCACATTTCTGCAACCACAAAATGTTTTGTCCACAGTTTTTGCCGCTTAGGAGGCCTTTGAACATCTTCGAATCTTCTGAATGAGGCACTCTGTGGACGTGGGGAAGTGGCTCGTATTTCCCCGAACGAGAAAGAACACGCGCAATACTCAAATTATTTCGTCTGGAATGCCACTATTTAAAAATTCTCTGGAAGATACACTCCAAATATCTGCGTTCATCTACTGTGCATTCGGCTGGGTGGCTTCTGCTTCGGCTCAGGTGCAGTGCCGGGCGCTACTTCGCAATTTGATAAGAGTTTGCAAGTGTCTTTCCACTTAAGTTTAGGCTCCTACCCGATTACCCTGGCTCAGGCCCTTCATGCACTGAAAGGCGGCCCCGTGATAACGTTCCGCAGGCAGCGTTACGGCGTTATACCGAATGCACTACCCAGGCCGTAAAAGGAAGCAAAGGAGTTAAGAGAGGTCTAACCTGCCTACTGTGACTGTGTAGTCCTAAACAACTGTAACAGGGAGAAACAAATGCGAGTACGAATTATCCAGTACGGGAAGTAGGGAGGTATACAGCAACTACCCATGACGTGAAGTGGATACGGCCAGATTGCCTGGTGATGAGCCATGAATGTTCATCTAAAGCTGGGACGTTTACAAGAATTCCCCAGATCTGGAAGACTTTGGTGAGCCAAGCGAACCCAACCAGAAGCGCAAGAGGTAATCCCATGGTGACGTTCTACACGACAGAATCTCAGTGTACTCCTAGCCTTCAAGCAGAGGACAGAACAAAATAGCACAAAGAATATACCTTGGACTTGTCTTATGCAGAAAGTTCTCGAACGAGCAACACTCACAGGAAAGGGTACTGCCTAAAATGCAGTACCGATTGTCGGGGTGCTAAACATTCTGTGGTTTGCCGCTTCCTCTAACATGTGCGAGCTTCACGGTGGACCAAATCAATACTTAGAAACGCGCGAGCCCATCAAATCCCAACACATATGGTGCTTGGAGGCACCCTACGGTGGAGTTGAGGATCTGAAGAAACATACTTCCGAAGTTGTTTCCTTACATATTCCATTGCTGTACAATGGGCTACAACGTTTCCACTGATTCCAACGTACGAAGGGCTATGCGGGAGAGCTATGGGCCTCGCACGGTCGGAGGACTTACCAGTAGGAACTGGACGCCTAAAAGTGTGTCTATGGATGCTTGGACATCTATACTTCAGGAGGGGGTACACACAGGGCACATTTATCTTTGTAGTAACGTACCCTGCGCGCTAGACGATTGCATTTTATCTCTTGTGTCACAGTATACGTACCTCAGCTCAGCAGTGTGCATCGCCGGGACGGAGAAAATTGTGCATCCCAGTAGAGCAGATTTGGTCCTCCTCAACTGCTGCATTTGTTCGTCCATATGCAAGCTCGCGACGACCCCTCCGCCAAAGCGGAGGTCTCAAAGTGGCATACTCAATTTTTTTGCTTGCACTGCACCTAAATCGGCAAGCAAATTAATATGCCTCCTTGAGGAACCGTCCTCTCCCCTCAGAAAGAAAATAACCTTGTGTAGACCTACTACTTGTAGAACTGCTGAACCTCACTGAAAAATGCTGAGCAGGGTCCACAGTCATATCGCCCAAAAGGGTGGTGATATTTACCCAACTATTTACGACGCACAAGTGAATACGTTGTGGCCACAGTTCTCATCTAAAGCGGGCCATTACGTGTTGATGCGTTGTTGCTTGTTACTTTGGGCCTGCATGTTCTGCTTTTTCCAAACGGCCAAAGAACGACTCTAGGCGCCGAGTTAAGAATTCATCGGCCGCTTCTGCTCCATCGGTGACTGAGCCAGCAGTAAGATCAGCCCTACATTTGTTATCCTGTGTGGGGCTTGGCATCTCGAGACTCTGCACAACCCAACGCGGCAGCAGCTGCTGTACACGGGCAAGACTGTACCTCCTATCTACAAGCAATATTGCAGCGTAGTCCTTGCTGTGACGAATGGCGCGGCCGATCGTTTGGTTGACAGTGGTCATGCATTGCAACAAACCATAGTCAAGACATTGATACTCCTTTTGCTGCTGCTGCTGCTGCTGCTGCCTTGAATATGCCAGCCCACAAGATGGAACAGGCCTTGCTTCTTTTGCTTCATCTGCCGTGGCCTGCTGCTTCTGCATGATTTCATTGTAGTGCTCTCTGTGCAGAGTGAATATTTTGTCCTTAATGCAAGGAAACGGCATACCAACAACCACCAATAGCCGTGCGAGTGCATCGGAGAAGTTCACTCCTTCGCTTAGTCGGCCTCCCATCACACAAAATAAAAATGCTGGTCTCGGCTTTGGGGTCCCTTCTTGAGCGCACTCTGCTTTGTACTTCATGCTCTGCCAATGATTGTCACGACTGTTTCTACCGCCGCACACGGAATCCGAATTTCTCTTCCACTCTGTTTTGTCAGCGTCCAATGTTCTTCCTACTGAATATCCCTTTAAAATAGCACAGGTGTAGATCTGCCAAAGGGCCGCCCCATAGGCAATGTGTATACCTGCGCGCAGAATGCAGAGAGAACCAAACGACAGCAACAGAGGCGCGTTTCGTGAAGCTGTCAAGATGTTTAAGGGCCAAGGTTACTCGAGAAGGATAAAAATGCACCAGCCGCCTGCAGGGAATTGACACAATATGCGTGAATGCATCTTGAGGAATTTGGGCGTGTGGGTAATGGGACAGGGGGAATTCACCGGTTCTACTGCACAGCAAAAAACGGGAGGAGGGATTTTAATGGTACATTCAGCTGGAACGAACAGCCACGGGAATAAAATTCATCTATGTCGAAGCACACGTACATTCAAGAGTGTGTTAGGAATGCGTTTGTGTGCCATCACATCTTGCCATTTTAACAATGAGCATGCATGAAAGGCACGTTTTTCGTAAGCGAAATATCAAGACGCATCGATGTATGCACCGACAAATGCGCAAGCTCGGGGGAGAGAAAGGGGATAGGGGACGCAGCTGTGTGGTAGCTCAGATAGACTGGGTTACCTGCATCGACCTTCGTAGGTCCCGGTGCCCGTCTCTCTGCAAAGATAGGCCCCAGCTTCTTTAACTCTGTCATAATTGGTGCAGCAGCAGCAGAAGCAGCCACATCTCTTCCCGCATCGCCGTCAGAAATACCGGCAACCGCTAGGAATGACTGCAGCGTTGCAAACGAAGGGAAGAAAACAACGACACCACCAGAAACAGTGCCAGAGACGCAAAGCAACAAGCGCAATAAGGACACAAACTGCATTGGGAAGTGTATGCGCTGAGAAAATTCGAAACAAAAGTCAGAGCAAGAAGAGGAGACTGCACCACACACGCACAAAACAACCACCGACACACGTTGTTGTTTGCAACTGCTGTTGTTTTTGCTGGTGATTCCACTGCTCCTAATCTTATTGATCTGGTTGCTGCCGATACTGACTCCTGCCCCAACACGAACCAGGCATAGGTACGAAATGCAGTAGCCTCCACACAAGCACTCACGCCTTGAGATCGGAAGTGCCAAGACTCTGTCGCTTGCAGTGCCAGTATCCGCCGACAGGAACATATAACTTGAGGGAGGTAGGCAACGCACAAAGCGAGTGAGGGACTCAAAGGGAGACAAAGTTCCCCCCATCAACACCACTAGACGAGCTGTCTTTACTGAGTGCACACAAGCCAAAAAGTAAGATATCCTCGCACTAAACCACAACCCCCAAACCCCAACAGCAAGACCTAAGCCTGGTGCCTGCTGGTGTTCCAACTTACATATGGGCTCAAACGCCTTTTCTGCAGAATACAAATCACAGCGCACTCGATAAACTAAGCTTTAACAGTAAATTATTGAAAGGAAGTCCAGTTGCACATGGGATACGATGGTCTGTAATGAGTTTACGTTCCAGCGTACTGAACTAAGAAATCAGGGGATCGTTTACCAGTTGCAAGGCATACAACCTCAAGCCTACAGCAGCAGCACGCTCTTCCACAGGCAAGCTTTGCCCCCATTCCATCTTCTGTCTTTCGTTCAGCAGCACCAGCAAGGCCCATTACAGTTGACGCTGCTTCTTGATGATGTTGCAAGCTCGTTATGACAAGCCTATCAGCTGCATCCATACCCAACAGTGAATGGATAAAACTTCTCACTGTGTACATGCAAGACGGCTCCAAAATATGCTGTTCTGTATGACGCTGCTGTTTCTGTTGGGTCTGCGGTTGTTTCGTCTGTTGCTGCTTTTGCGGCGGCTGTTGCAATTTGTGGTTATGTTGCATTGCAAATCCCCTCATTTTCTGGCATATACGTCGAGTCGGGTCAGAAAGAAAAGCAATAAGCTCGTGAAAGTCAAAACTGTCGAGCTTGAAAAGGCGCAGTAAGGCCGTCGCCGTTAGGACTGTCTCGGTGCCCCTTGCTTGAATATCTGCAGCAGCAGCACCTATTGCTGCTCCTTTTGTATCTTCCTTTGCTGCTTCTCGCGAATATGCCAACGCCGCATGTGGGTTACTGTGCGAATCATCTACTACATGACATTGCTGTTGCTGTTGTTGCCGTGTCCACTCCTGCGGCTCGCCGCAGCAGCAGTATGGCTGGAGTCCCTTGTAGATAGTCTCAACCAATCTTGTCAGCTGTTGCAGCAAGTGGAGAGACCGTGGTGCAAGTCTACTACTAAACTGTTTGACGTACAAAGACAGCAGCCGAGCTGCAGATGCTGTTGTTCGATGGGAAAGTGTTGCAGATTTGCTGTTGCTAAGAGCAGCAGACAGGTGATGAGCCTCGTCGACACAGAAAACTGAATCTGCCAGTGAAAAGAAGCCAACTTCCGCTGTGCTCCCATCAGCAGGAAATGCAAGAGAGAACGGCAGCAGCACGACGTCTGCTTCCGCTGCTGCTGCTCGGCAGCCGTAGTAAGGACACCCGCCAACAGACCTTCCAATACGCCGTAGGTCTTCTATGTCAAGCGTAGCAGCCACTGCAGCGTCTGAAACCAAGTGTTTCCTTTTGTAGTAGCCGCACAAGCCCTTTGAAACCAGGTATGAGCACTTGTCCCCCAGATCACTGCTGCTGTTGCTGTTGCTGCTGCTGCTGTCGCCAGTAAATACATCTGGATGTAAGCATAGTTGTTGCCTGCCAGCTGCAACAACTGCGACAAAGTCTTTAATTTCCTCTCTCCTTCCCTTCTCCTGCATCATTCGAATTTCACTTACATACTGCTGCAGCTGCTGGTGCGTTCTGCTGCATATTACGATTTGCGGGATACGGAGACTGTGAGAAGAACCTGGTTGAGAAGATGTTCCCCAAGATTCATGTAGGGAGTTATTCCATTTTACATTCAGGCAAGAGTCGGGCTCCTCAGGCGCATATGCATCGTACTCTGCAAGATCCTGCTGCTCCTGCGTGCTGTTCACGGTGGCGAGGCGCTTCGATGCCAACGCCACTTTGCAGTTTTGCCCTTTCTGCTGCTCCACATGTTGCATAGGATTAGCTGCCGCTGCTGCGTCGGAACGAGCTGCTGCTTCTTTTAACCGCGTCTTTCTCTCCCTGAGGAACTGCTGCGCTTGTTGTCGCTGTTGTTGCAACAGTGCTGTCTTGACCCACGGTGGCGTTTTCCTTGTTTTCTCCGAGTCCTGCTGCTGCTTTTGTTGTGCCTGAATCTGTCGGTGCTTTTGCTGCAGCTGCTGGAGTATTAGCTGCTCTGCTTGTTGCTTCAGCCACAGCACAGACGGACAGAGGAACGACAAAGTCTTGCCTCCCCCAGTAGCCATCTCAAGTGCAGCGAATTTTGTCCCCTGGCTGCTTCCCTGAAGGGCCCTCCACACAGTATCCATGAAACGTAGCTGGGATAGATAAGGGACATAGGGAAACCCAAAGGTGTCATGTTCCTCTGATGCTGCCGCCGCCTGGGCTGCTGAGCAAGTGGAGGAAACGGTTGTCGTTGCTAAGCGTTGACCCGTGTCTTTCATTCTTACGCTGGCCTTCCAACTGCGCTTACAGCAGATGCAGAGACGGCTATATTCCTTCTGCTGAATGCAACAACTGAAGGCATGTTCTTTCTCCCGTGGTGTGTGGAGGTCAACTTCCGTCCCCAGTTGCAAGATGCGTCACGCCCTGGTTAATGTCTTTCAAGCGTGTTGAAGCTAATATGAATAGACTTTACGAATTGACTTCTTCCAGCGAAGGTAGGTAAACAGGCGTTTGGGTGAAAAAGTCAAGCGCCTCTACTACGGGGCCCCTCGGGGGCCCTCCAGTTAGTTGGGAAAGTATGAAAGGATGTGCAGCTCAAGTAAGTAACAATTATATATGCTCTTTTGGGTTGGCATTTCATTTTTAAAGCCGGACACTTCCGAAAAGTGTGATCTAATGTAACGAATCGCCAAAGTTTACAGTGCAGCAACGAAAGTTGTCGGGACCCAACAAGGCAAAAGTTGTCGGGACCCAACAAAGCAATTGCCGAGGCAGAATGGTGGGTTACGCTGGTCATTAATGGAAAAATACCCATTTCCCATCACCGGGCATTAGCTGTTTCCCTATCTTTTGCAGGGTACTTTTGCAACTGCTGGAAGGATGCAGCGGCCTCGCTTGGCGTTGCTTCTGTTATGATGCTGTTCTTGGCCGTTGTTAAGGAGTCAAGATGCAGGTGTTTGAGCAGCAATATGCATATTACTACGGGCACACCTGACAGTCCTCAAAGCGCGCATGGCATGCAGTACAGGTTTTCTTGCGTGCGCAATTTTCGGAGTATTGCGTTCTGCTGGAGGTGCAACAGAGCACACGGGGAAGGCGTCCTTCATCTAGAGTCATGCGCCTAACGCAGTTTGTTCCCGAGGCCTCACAAAAAGAGTTAGAGCACTTCCCACTTCAAATGTTGTGGTTGTTCTGTACTCGCTTTCATATCATGTTCCGAGTGCATTGCCGCAAACCGTTGTTAGGTGTGGGGGTGCTATACCTGTATCCGAAGCTCCGTCAATCATGATCCTTAACTATGAGCTGCCACGTATTATCGGCTTTGACCGCCATGCGTCAGTGTTACCAGAGTGCAATTCACCGTCAAGGAGAAGGCGTTGTGTCCCTGTGCTTGGTTGACTTAACGAGTCTTATACCATCTTGGCAAAGAGTTCACTACAGGCTTAATCCAGATCAAGATTCGGCCTACAAGCTCAATGCCACTCTATTCGCAACGAAGCACAAACGGGCCTCAACAGGCACCGTAGATATACAAATAAGCCCTAGAATGATTGCACAGCCCAAAAACGTGGCCATATCCCCTTGTGAACTATAAGCAACCCCTTCGATACTGGCTGAAGGATAACACACACCAGATGGGACTCGAACCCACAACCTCAGCCTTAGGAGGGCTGCGCGCTATCCATTGCGCCACTGGTGCGTTATATATGGCGCCACGAGCAGTCGGTCTACCCAGCTGAGTCGCAAGCTCAATGCCACTCTATTCGCAACGAAGCACAAACGGGCCTCAACAGGCACCGTAGATATACAAATAAGCCCTAGAATGATTGCACAGCCCAAAAACGTGGCCATATCCCCTTGTGAACTATAAGCAACCCCTTCGATACTGGCTGAAGGATAACACACACCAGATGGGACTCGAACCCACAACCTCAGCCTTAGGAGGGCTGCGCGCTATCCATTGCGCCACT